CTCTCTCTCTCTCTCTCACACACACACACACACACACACACACACACACACACACTCGTCTCTCTCTCTCACACACACGTGCGTCATATTTGTGCCGTGGCTCAGAATGGCTCATGCCGCCGTGTCTGTAAGCGTGTTCATCTGTTTTAAACGGGAACGAGGATCATAAGATCAGATAACCAGCTATTAAACCGGTCGCACCCGTCTCTCTCTCTAGCGCTCTCACTCGTCCACAGAGACTGGAGGAGGATGAATGTAGACTGATAAGAGACAGGCAGATGTACGTACAAAGCTTTATCCAGCAGTTGCTGTTTTTCCTGCAGCTCCTGTTTCAGACTCTCCACCTCCACCTTCAGCTCGATGTTCTGGAACAAACCAAACATCTGTAAATGTGTCTGTTCACACGAGTTCTTCATGTCAGCAGATGAAACACTCACAGCACAAACAGTCTCACATTACACTCATTTATTATACAAATGATACATGTGAGTGTGTGTGTGTGTGTGTGTGTGTGTGTGTGTGTGTGTGTGTGTGTGTGTGTGTGTGTGAGAGAGTGTGTGTGAGTGTGCATGCGTGCATGTGTGTGTGTGTGTGTGATTAGTCAGTGTCCTTTAACAGGCGGTTCTGGCATCTCACAGGTTATTTTTAGTGGACTGGAATGCAGCGCTGAAACTAAAGCACAAGTGAAGTGAACAGCTGTTGACTGTTTACCTGCTGAAACATACGCATGAGCAGCACTAGTGCCTTCTGTACTGAACATTCAGAAGGGTTTCTAGGGCTTCTGCATGTAAAGTCTTGAGTGATACGAGCCGTTTCATGAACTTTCAAGAAAACATCTGAAGGAAAATGTGTGTGTTTCTTTGTAGTAACAGTGGTTTGTTGTTGCAGCAGAAATCTGATCAGCGACGCGTCATAAGCGTAAAATCACCCTCACTCTTCACATGAACACTTCAGACGTGAAGTGAGTAAAGCAACTAAACTGAAAAGAGATTCAGCAGAACGAATGGATTTCTGTGCTGGAATTCACTCAAAATTCAGATTGATATAGACACAAATCTCTTACTATCATACAGACACATGTTCATGTATATTAGCCTGTATTTCAGGATCCTGCAGCATGTTTGGGTGGGTTTTTACATGGTTCAATGAAGAATCTTTAAACAATTGTTATAATATTTCCATGAAAAAATTACTTTTTTGGCATTGTTTTTTTATGATTGTTTTTTTTCTTCAAAAAAAAACTATTACACAAAAAGAAAAATAGCAACACGCCTAACTAACTCAGAGAATTAGTTTAACAGGAAAAAGACGGCACACAATGCCATTAATGACGGGTTCTTTGGTGCTTCTAAAACAATTACAAGTAATTCTTATGATTTCAAAAAAATTAGTCTTACCAAATCAGCAAACAAAAATCTAGGATACATCAAATAAAAAGTAGTTCAGGATCAACAAACACAGGTTTTCTGTGGCAGCAAAATCAAATCTCTTTCCCACCGACCCGCGGATGTGTCCCGAACTTCAGCAATACGAACTGCATTACATGCCGATTTCTTTAAAGGACATTTATACATTCTTTTTAATGGAGAAAGGTCATATACAAATGAAATGATATTTATTTGTATCATTTTAATCATTATTACTGTTAAAGGTCTTTAGGCTGTTTTCTTTTGCTTGTAAATGAAGCAGATCTGAAAGCGTCTCACCGTCCTGTAGATCTCATCGCTGCCGTCCTCAAACTTCTGCTGGATCCGCTCCTCCAGGAAGTAGATGCGCAGCTTGAGGCTGAAGTTCTCCTTCTTCAGATCATTGAGGTGCTGCGAGAGAGTTCGGTAAGTGTTAGACATGTCCGGCGGGAGTGTGTGTGTGTGTGTGTGAAGATCACGCCACTCGCACACATCACACAACTACAGCACTACAAAAGCAAACATGAAAGATCCTTATCCACATGATCATATTTACACGCCATCTTCACACTCAAACACACACAGAGAACGAGGGGCCGCTATAAGGGCCCGGGGCCGCATGACTCCATGATGAGCTTCAGTATGGAGATACAGACGGCAGAGCTGTTTTTACTCTGGAAGAAATCCCAGGAATCCCTGAGAGCCCAGAGACGAGCCAATCAGAGGACAGGCTGCGGTCACACGGCAGACGACCGGAGAGAGCGGGCTGAGATGAGGCGAGGTCACATGATCGTGAACGGCTCCGAAACTGACTTACTAATAATAACTGTCCGTGAGGAGCGTCCCAGCTTTACGTGAGTTTATTCCAGGCTTGGCTCAGATAAACCGCTGAAGCCCATCCTGAGTCCCACAGCAGCCGTCTGTCTGATCGCTGGAAGAGTTGCGTAACTCACTCTGAACTCTATACTGGCATCGCTGTGTGCTTCATGGCCCTGGAGAACAACATCTATAAATACACCAGCGGTCAGACACACCTGCCGTCATTCCCCTCACCGCAGAATAATACTGATGATGATGATGAAGAAGACGACTCGGGAATCACACTAATGTAAGTCTAGGAATGATGTCGAGATCAAAACATGAGACTAAAACTCTCTCATATCTGAGCTTCATCTTTGCCTCTTCTACCAATCATAACTGGCATCACTGTTATACTGTAACGACCAAATACACTACAGGACAAATGTTTGGAATAATTAAAGGGGTGGTTCACTGGGTTTTTTCTAGGCTTGATTGTGTTTATGGGGTGCAGTCTAACTTGTGTTAATGCTTCGTTTAAAAAAAAAACACATTATTTTTCACATAATTTACCTTTATTCCACACAGCTCTGTACCTTCTCCGAGAAACGCGCTGATCATTTCCTGCTTTTATGAAGCCCCGCCCTCAGAAATAGGCGATGGGCTCTGATTGGTTAGCTAGCCCAGTGTGTTGTGAGTGGCTAAACCGCCTCTAGCGCGCGTCTAAACGTCCCGCCCTCACCTCAGCGGCATGTGCTCCGGTTGTATTGTAAACAATGGCGTCGTTAATATCGCTTATCAGTTTGAGCTCGATTGAGAAGCAGAGGATATTATTGAAGAGGATCGTGCAGAACCTGTGCAAGCATGGCTTTTAATGGTAGGCCTATGTTTTTTGTTTGTTGTTGTCTCATACTTTTAGATACGCTGTTATTTGTAAATGCTACTGCTTATGTTAGCTTTTAATATACGGTTTTATCCTGATTAAAGCTTTAATACAGTATGGCAACTGCACGCGCGTCCATGTTTAACGCTTCTCATAGCTATGTGAAAGTAAGTGTATAATTGTAACAGTTCATTGTTGGAGCTGAGCTGAATGAGAGAGAGAGTGAGAGAGAGCGAGAGATGCAGAGCGTGTGTAGAGCAGGGGACGCGAGGAACAGTATTGAGAACCGCTGCTTCAGATCACTGATTTTGAAACGTGTGAATCCATTAGAATCGTTAGAAGACAGAATCGTGATTCATATATGAATAGATTTTTACGTGCACCAATAGTTTTCTCTTCCTCTTCTCTAAAGCAGCACAGCATGGCCTCGCCCCCTTTGCTGCTTTTCCCGGGGGCGGGGTTTATCTGGGTTTGTGATGTCACGAACCCCGGAAGTAACTCGTTGTAATCCCTACCAGCCATTTTTGTAGGCATTAAACTGCCAATTTTAAAAGATGATATCTCCGTTTGCATTGAACTTTCAGCTTCGTAACTTTCCAGACATAGTTTATGCTCAAACAGCAACATTACACACTAACTAACGTTAAAAAAGTGAAATCGCAATGAACCACCCCTTTAAGATTACATAATGTTTGTGAAAGAAGTCTCTTCTGCTTGCCAAGACTGCATTTATATGGTCAAAAATACAGTAAAATTGGTGAAATATTATTAGTTTAAAACAGCTGTTTTCTATGTGAATCTCTGTTAAACTGTAATGTATTTCTGTGATGCGCAGCTGTATTTTCAGCATCATTACTCCAGTCTTCAGTGTCACATGATCTTCAGAAATCATTCTAATATGCTGATTTGCTGCTCAAGAAACATTTCTGGTTATTATCAATGCTGAAAACAGTTGTGCTGCTCCCATAGGCCAAATGTCAAGCATTTAATCAATCAGAGGTCAGTTTCTCTCTCTTACACTCACTATCTGCTGTTGTTTGGAGTATCAAAGTGTTTTCCTCAAGAATGAGCTCAGAGTTCATCATCAGAGAGGAACTAGTGACTCATATAAAGTATTTCTGCATCTCACAGCAAAACTCATTGTTCCAGTGTAATACTGGTCAAACACTTCGACAGCCAGCAGCCGGACGATCATCCCACATTCAGCTAAACCGGTGCGGCTGCCGGACACACGGCCTTTACCACACATTTAACAGCACTGCTCTGTTTAGACATCTGATGTGAATGTGAGCGGGTGTCTAAACACTGCTGCTGCAGCTCAGCTCTGGTTTATAACATGTCTGTGTGTGTGTGTGTGTGTGTGTGTGTGTGTGTGTGATATTCAAATAATGAATTTAGCTAGATGTTTCAGTGAGCACAATAAAAGAGGCAGGAGGAACATGAGAACTGACATTAACAACACAACACACACAAACTCACACGATTTCTAATCATAAGAAGTTGTTTATCTGAATCAGAGCAGCTCACACTCAGTGAAGGCTGCAAATAACAACACAAAATAAAGGTTCTTAATCATGTCACACATTCACTAACACAGGGTGGCGCTAGACAGCAGCTGTGGCTCTGTGATGGACGGCCGTTTTCTTCCTCTGAAACAGACTCCAGCGGCCGCTTGGAAACAGATGGATGTGTTTTAGATCAATCATGGAAACGGTTTCATTTGATCTAATGTTACATGAGAGGAGCTGAACCGCTGCACACAAAGACTGAAAATCTCACCTGTTCAAATTCTCTCAGCGGGTGCGTTTGAAGAGGAACTTTATCAGTGTCTTCATTCAGACAATCTACAAACATACAAATGCTTGTTAAACATATATACATATACACACACATATATATTCACCATGAAATCGGTGATCCAAAACAGTATTTAGACATTTAAGTCACAAAGGTGTGTGTCTGTGTGTGTGTGTGTGAGTGTGTGTGTGTGTGTGTGAGTGTGTTTTACCTGTCATGTAACCCACAGTTCTGCACACATTTCCCTCTCCATCCACAACAAAATCCCTAAAAAAAAACAGAACAGGAATCCATAAATCATAAGTTCATACACTCAATTGTCCGAAGTACATTCAACTCGGCTTTGTTCATATTTTGCTTAGCTTATAATTTTAAACGACAGATGTTGTATTTTTTTTTCTCTGTGACACTTTTCCTACTGTGTTAACAGCATAATGTTAAACGAATTTTGTATTTTGACAAGACGAATAAAAATAACAAATAGGCTACAATTTTTTGTACAACCTATATTTTATTTTTTTTCTCTGCGACACATTTTCCTTTTGTGTTGACAGCAAAATGTTAAAGAATTGTTTACTGACAAGACAAATAAAAATAAGAAATACAATTTTTGTACCACCTACATTTTTATTTTCTCTGCGACACTTTTTTCTTGTTGACAGCAAAATGCTAAACAAATTTTGTATCTTGACAAGACGAATAAAATATACAATTTTTGTGCAGACTACATTTTTATTTGTCATCTCTCTCTTTCAGTAGTGGAAATTTAAATGTGAGGATGGACAAACGCGTCCAGTTGTTTTCACAGAAAACAGAAACGTTTGGAAACATGAAGACATTAAACATGCTATTGTGACCATACATGGTTTAGAAACTATTCTGCCTTATGTGATAAAAAGAGTTTGTAGTATATAAACAAATCATTATTATTGGTTATTGTCCAGCAGTGTATTTGATTTCTTAGCCAATTAAAAGCTAGAAATAAGAGAAAAATTAAAGTTGCCTGTACACTACCAGTCACTACCAGTTTTTGAACAGTAAGATTTGTAATGTTTTTAAATAAGTCTCTTCTGTTCACCAATTTATTTGATCCAAAGTACAGCAAAAAAGTAAAATTTTGAAATATTTTTACTATTTAAAATCACAGTTTTCTATTTAAATATATTTTAAAATGTAATTTATTCCTGTGATTTATTCTGACTGCAAGCTTTTGAATGGTCTAGTGTATAATGTTACAAAAGCTTTTTATTTCAGATAAATGCTGATCTTTGGATCCTTCTATTCATCAAAGAATCCTGAAAAAATGTACTCAACTGTTTTAAATATTGATAATAATAATAATAATAATAATCATTTAAAAATGTTTCTTGAGCAGCAAATCAGCATATTATACTGATTTCTGAAGGTCATGTGACACTGAAGACTGGAGTAATGATGCTGAAAATACAGCTGCGCATCACAGAAATACATTACAGTTTAACAGAGATTCACATAGAAAACAGCTGTTTTAAATATTTTAAAAATATTTCAAAACATTACTGCTTTTGCTGTACTTTGGATTAAATAAATGCAGGCTTGGTGAACAGATTTTTTAAACACAGTCTGTTTTTGCTCCGTTTTGCCAACAAAAATATTACCTATAAAGCCACAGCAGAATTGCTGTGCGTCTCCGAGCAACACAGCGGTGTTTAGTTTCTGAATGAATCCGTGTTTTGAACGAATCGTGTGAATCAATGATTCAAAGACCCATCCATAAAGAGAGCTGTTTACTTCATTCTTGAATGAATCAGCCATTAGAGCGAATGAATGAGTCATAAAGACATTTACCGCCATCTGCTGGCAGATTGAGTTTCTTATTTAGAGTATAATTTAATTAAAAAAAATAAATAAATAATAATAATAATAATAATAAAACATTAAAGGGATAGTTCACCCAAAAATGTTGAAAAAAACCATTGAAAATGTGTAGAATTTAACGATTTAACCCTGGAGCCATATTGAAATTCCAATATCTCTGGAACCGAACCATATAGGGCCTGTCAAAAGGAAAGTTTGTTAAGACCCGATATCTAAAAGGGCATTAAGATATCTTTAATGCTTCTTGAGTTACAGGCCTGCAAACTTTGGAGAAAAAGCTTGAAAAGTGCTGTTTTCCCATTTTTGAACGGTCACCATTTGCATATAATGCAACAAATATTGCTAAAGTCAACAGATTTTACTAACAGACCTACCAATCTCTGTGTAAAATTAACATTATGATGCTGCCATCTTTCTGAAGTAATTTTCACATCCCTGTAATTTGGCTCATTTTGACCCCCCTCTACAAAATAGTGGATTGCTCAGTAAATATTCATCCATGACATTTAATATTTTGGCTTTCATCACTATACATGTTTATTAAATCACTAAAAACTAAACAGTCAAATTAAAGATTTAGATTACAAACAAAATGAATCAACCCTTTCTGGATTCATCAATCATTCTCCTGACTGAACAACAGCTAGTCATTTACAGAAAAACAGCAGCTCCAAATGAACAAACGACTGGAGAGAGTAAAAGAGCTCTTCACTTTCTCACTGCGGTCAGAGAGCAGATCTCAAAGAGAAACACTGATGTCCAGCGGGTGCCAGACTTCACTCACACACACACACACACACACACACACACACACACACTGACCCTTCAACACAACCACTATGCTTTGGAGCTCAGAAAAGCAACCAATGCCTACACA